GAGGAATTGCATCTTTCAAGAAATTTATTGTCGAACTAGAGTCAGAAACAAATGTATGATTTATGTTAAGGGTAAGCTTATAAAATCTTGAGGGGAGTAAACTTATAATATTTTAGAAGATGAAAATAAATTATTAATAAAAAATGTTAAATATATATATAATATAAAAACTTAAAAATTTTAAAGAACGATAACTACTCCTATCAACCTCTTGATGTATCTCTGATCAGATGCAACCTCAACATCCTAATTGCTCAAAATACAAATTATCATGGTCATCTAATTTTCTTTTCCTCAAAATGTTGATTTCTTTTTTATTGAATCCATATTCCCATTGTACTTCACTCACAATGATATACATTGTAGCATAAGTTTTACTTGGCGTTACATGTTTAAATAAATTTTGATATATTTTATATTACATATATTTAAATGTATTAGTATTTTTTTCATACTTTGATTTTTTTAATAATGGTAACTGGATTTTATTAATAAAAATAATAAAAGGAATCAAAATTGCAATGCATCTAAACATAGAGAGAAAACTGGGATAATGGTCGCCAAAAAAACTTATTCAAAAACAATAATGTTAAATCTAAAGATACGAAGAAAAACTAAACATTCCCTTGAGAATTACAAACAACATCAAATGAACCAAATAACTTTCATAAAAACTCATTGATGTCGAACAAGATGCTTTACGAAGTGATAAGCGAACCAAACTATCTGATAGGTTATTTCGCTACACAATTATGATTATATCGATAAACAACCTTTTACGAAGAGGAAATATGACTATATGTGACCACCGATAAACCAAATAGAAAATAAATATCGTGATGTTTTTGTACAGGCACCGAAACAACTGCAAAGGTACTCGAGAAACATACCAAAAGCCATAAATATTGAATCACAAGAGTAGAGAAAGTGCACGTCACAAGAGTGGAGAAAAGTTTGCCACAAAGACAAAAATTCTTATTCAAACTTAAAAAAATCAAGGGAAAATGACATAGTATAAAAAATAATAGAATTAATAATTATCAATGGTCGATAAAAATATTAAAATTAATATCATTATCAGTTAAATAAAAATTAAAAAAATACATAAAAATATTGAAAGAAAGTTTAATTATTTGATTAATATTACATGAGTATAGTTGGAGGCATCGAACAACAATTTAGTTGGTTGGTTGGTTGTGTAACTAACTAATTCATGAGAACTCTCTGATTTTCTGTCTGCCACGAACTGAACAACCAACTTTTCGGTTCACAATAGCTATAATTCAACAGTATCTTTTTACTATTCCATTGCACTAATAGGGTTTTTATTATTTATTTATTAAAACAAAACGGCGCTGATTTTTTTTAAAATTGAGCTTCTTTATCTAAATATTATATTTTAAAAATGTATTCTTTTAAAAATAAGATTTTTTTTCTTAATCTAGTCTAAATACAAATTAATATCTATTCAAATTTAATTATCAACTATTAGACATTGAACGCTAGTATTTGAATATAGAACCTCAAAGACCAATAACAATTCATTTATTACTGAAATCGCTTGATTCGAGCATAAAAATAAGATATTTATAAAAATAACACTTATATATATTACATAAGAAAAAATTATTTTTGATCAGATGTTCATTTAAAATGTAGTTTTAAAAAGTGCATTCTTTATTAAATAATATCATGTTCTTTGTAGAAGTGAGCAAAATTTGAGTAAATTTAAAAAATTGATTTTTTTACTCGATTCAATGTTTTAATTTTGACTCGACTCATAATTTCATAAATTTAAATTGACTCAAAAAAAATTAAATTTAAGCTGAGTTATAAAATAGAACTCAAATAACTTAATTTTAGTAATTAGATTAATTTTCAAGTTCGTGTCTAATCTCTTCACTCTGCTAATCTGATTCCACGAATACTGCGAATAAATGATTTATATTTTATTCTTATTTTATTTTCTGTTCGATTATGTATTTTCTTTTATTGTTTTATTTATTGTCTAGCAAATTGTTCAAGGTAGCTGAATTAGAAGAGCGAGATAATTAAAAAAAGAGACTTCTTGTTTACTATATTTTATTTTTTTAAGCAAATTACAATTAAAAAAAACAACATTTGAGAATTTTGAATTAATAATTAATAAAATATAACAAGAAAAATTGCAAAACTAATTCCTAAAACTAATAGGATACATTGAACCAACATCAGGCTTTCAACTTCATTTACCTAAGAAAAAGGGTCCTAAACTCCATGCCCTCTTGCTATGCTTTCAAGCCTGCACAACGAGAACAAAAGAAAACAAATGAACACTTGAATGTCACCTGGGGGTAACCTCAGTGATAGTGACAGTAACAGAACTCATCTGAAATCCACCCAATGTGGCAGATGATTCGATCAACTTTTTACTCGAAGACGCCTCTCCGTCTTGGAAGAATCCCGGTGCCATAAGTCCTTTTTCGTTCAGCTGAACATTTTGTCCCAGCATTTAATAACCTGGCTCATTAAAGGCCTTCGATTGGCTGCTCCTTGAGTGCAGAAAAAGGCAAACTTTCATGTACCTAAGGACCTCTTCCTCCAGGAATTCTCCGAGCTCAGGATCCACGAGTTCGAGGAGCCTGCCTCCTCATGGAGCTGCCATGCCTATCAAAGCAAACAATAATATGATGATTCTAATATCTAAATAAAAGGATGCTCTGCTGAATATGGTTAAGAATGATGTACAGAAGTTCAGACCTCTGAAGCCATGAAGAAAACTAAGAACTATAGTAAACGAAAATAAGCGCGTACCCATTCCAAGAGTAACATCCCGTGCTCCAGTTTGTCTTCGTGCTGCTTCGGCCACTGATTATTTCGAGTACAAGGACACCGAAGCTATAAACATCAGCCTTCAAGGTCAACTGACACCCAACGCATATTCTGGTGCCAAATAACCACTACACAGGATGAAGTAAGCATAAGTCATTCCCATTCCATTTTTGTCGTTATATAAAACTGATTATTATAGATTTCAGAAACAAAAAACCGAGAGACGGCATCTGATCTCTGGGGACCTTTTTTCACAGATACAAACCAAAAACCGAGAGACACATCTGATCTCTAGGAACTTTTTTTTTTCACAGATCAGTGGCTGAAATGTTGATTATCCCTACTACGGAAACTTGGTCCAAACTCCATTGTGAAATAGGATACCAGAGAAAGTTTGGATAAAGCATGCACCAAGTCTTTCCCTATTACTTGCTATGCAATTTTTCTTCTTTGATATCTGGTATGAATTCAGCTACGATAAGCTCATCAAGGAAACTATAGAAATCAAATGCAGATACTATCCATATCCAATTTCTTACTAACATTAAGCTTTTTTTTCCTCTGCCTTATCATGTTTTTACGGAATTTGTTGTTTGTCAGCAAGGATGTGTTCACATGTAGGCAATGCAGATTATACGGATTCAGAATCCCTTTTGAGCTGTCAAAGTTGGCAAATTAAACATGAATCTATGAAAGCATCTTTGATTTCAAAGACAATGCTAAGGTGATCGGGATCTTTATATTTGTAGAGAATGACTTCTCAAACAAGTCAAATGCTCTATGACAATACCAAAAGCCTCAAAGAAGACAGAGCAGCTAGAGAAGCAGTGACTTACGTTGTTCCTGCTATTCGGGTACTAATATGAGTGATATTATCCGAAAAAGTTTAGCCAACCCAAAATCTCCGATTTTAGGGTTAAAGTCTTTGTAAGAAGTATGTTACTGGATTTGATGTCTCTATGAACGATATGCGGAACAAGTTCTTCATGAAGGAAAGCAAGACCACTAGCAATACCCATGCAAATAGCTGATCTTTGCTCCAATCCAATTTGATATTTGTACTCCTTTGATCTGCCAAACCAAGGAATTTAAAAATGAGAGTCAAGTCTTCAAAGTTAGAGCACAAACTTCAGACAGTCTTACCTAATAAGACTTTATCAAGACTCTATTTTCAACGTATTCATAGACCAATACCGATTCGTTCCTTGAATACAACACCCTATCAGCTCAACAAGGTTTGGATGCTTGACATTTGCTATAGTATTGATCTCGGTTAAAAATTCACGAGCTCCCTGTTTCGATTGGGCAGAAAGTGTCTTCACTGCAACTTCAGTTCCATCTTTTAGAATTCCTAGCAACATGTGTAATCAGTCAGACACCAAGTTTGATTTACAAGTGAATGCTAGAATTTCCTAAAAGAGGACCAAAATAAGGAAATCATGTTTGGGTTAGGATCCTGACCCGGTCTAGCTAGACTCTAGTTTCAGTCCGCCACCATCGAAAGTTGCAACTGAGCTAAATTTCAGTTAATAATTTCATGTTTTAGTTTTCTGATGTTCTCAATCTTAAAAGAAATCAGTCTAAGCCAAAATATAGCATTGATGAACTTGGATAAAAATCAACAGAAATTAGAAGCAGTACTAATGGAATTCCCGATATCCCAGTGATTGTGCACAGCCGTCAACAAGATATAAACACAAGTAAATTTAAAGCTGAAAGGAAACATATGCATAGTTGAACCCCTAATATGCTCAAACCGGTGTGTGAGTTTTAGATGCTGGTATATGTCCAATTCAGGTATATTCATTTCTTTTTGAGTTTTTCTATGCATTTGAAGGGTGATCGGACGATTATATTCATACCCTTGACGGATGTAGAATTTTATATTGGGGACGAACTTATAAAATTTTAAGAATGCGAAAAAGATTATAAACAGAAAATAAAATATCCAAGTTCATGAGAATTTAAAATTTGAGGGTCCATCGTTGCTTGTAATGATATGCATCTAACACAAATACTAGAGAAAAATTAGAACTCGGAACAGCATAGATTAGATCATTAGAACAGTTGATCCCAACACCCCAACCTCAAAAATTCTCAATTTTACATTAATCAATAAACATATTAATTTTAATTCTGCATGATTTTATATAAACTAATAAAACAAAAGTAAATTTAAAGCACCTTGTAAACTGTTCCGAAACCTCCACGCCCTATTTTATTGTTCGAATGAAAATCATCTGTGGCTGATCTTAATTGATTGCCTGAGAAATGGTTAACTCTCCGAAGCAATTGCTCTGCAGAATTTTCAAAAGCAATTGCTCTGCAGAATTTTCAAAATTAAAAAATAAACACTAATAATATTAAAAAATTAACTCTAATGACCCTAAAATTCTAAAATAAAAAAACGACTATATTTTCGAAAGTTTAAAGAGAATCCTCACCGTCTATATCGCTGGTGTCCTGACCGGTGCTCCGTTTAACAACTGATCCACCAAAGCAACCGCAACTCATCTTTCTCTGCAATATCGCAAATCTAACCGATCTCTCCCAGTTCACACATTTACACCTCTATTTAAAAAAAAATCATAAAAGAAGTATCAAAACAACAAATTCACCAAATTAGGAAGCTCACACTTCCTCAATATTCAGATCAAATCCTCACAAAAAACAGCAGTTTAACTCAAATGAAGTTTAGCTAATTAATCAAACTATAATATAAGATTAACATATCAACTAACAGCTCATCGTCACCATCTCGCTAAAGTAAAACATTCAAAGAAATTAAAGAAAAAAGAATGAGCTTACTTGCAGAGGATGAAATGGAGGAAATTAAGACCGGTATTGGCAGAAATAAACTTAAAAATGGGGAGTTGAACTAGGTTTAAGGAGGATTGAAAAATGGTGATTTGTTAAAAGATTTCGGCTTGTGTGATTCTGCTGGGTTCCCACTTTTGTCATCTCCAGCTCTAATCTCCTACTCTTTTTCCCACTTCAGCGCTTAAACTTTTTTTATTATATAATTTATAATAATTATTTATTTTATATTTATCACATTTGACACTTTGTCTCATCTAATAATTTAAAAATGGTCGAAAGAAGACCAGTGATATCAGCGCAGTCAAAGCCACAATTTGCAGTAATATCATCATTATCCATTCAATTATACAACACGTTTTCTTTTATATGTATTTCATTTATTTTGATTTTCTTAAAAGATACTTCAGGCTGTTTTACTTTTTGAAGAAAATTAACGTGATTTTTTAATTATGGGTAAAGTATAGTAATGGTCACTGAACTTTTGTAAAGCTTTCATTTAGGTCCCCGAATTTTTAAAACTTGCAATACATCCCTCCAACATTTATTCCGTTTGCAATATGGTCATCGACGTAACCGGTCGTTTGACGCTGTTACAATGCCGTTAGTACGTTTGCAATATGGTCACTGAACTTTTTAGGCGTTTGCATTTAGGTCCCCAACTTTTAAAACTTGTAACACATTCCTCAATTTCATTCTAAACCCCATATTCATTTTCGATCTCGAATTTCCTTTTTTGCTTCTCTCTTCTCATTTCCAGCGTAACTTTTCAGTCAGAGATGCATGGGAAATTATAATCTAACTTTGAATTATGTGGAGGTGTTGGCTTTAATAAGGGCCCATTGAGAGAATACCCGACTAAGGGACTATCGGGACCATCAATGATTCAAGGTGTAATGTTAGATACAGGTCATCTCAGGTGAAGCATAGATGTTTGATGAAATGCTTGTGAGAAAAAATGGAGTTAAAAATACAGAGTTGACAAATACTACTAAGATGAACTAAGTATCATTGTTAAAAGTCACCAACAAAGCTGTAATTTTTTTGTATAAATGGCATATAATAATTTCTTCGTTTAATTCTTGTGGTTAAAGATTTTCCAACAGATGATCAAATATAATGAAATCCCAAACAGCGCATTCATCTCTCAGTTTTTTTCGCTCACATACACTCTCGTTTGGTTTTTGTTCTTCAATTTTCCGCCATGTAAAATTGTAAACCCAAGCAGTACTCTATCTTTCAGCTTTTATTTACAAAGAAAAAATGGAGGAAGAATTGCTGGAACGCAACACCAATTGCGTTTATTTCTTAGTCTCCTCTCACTTGCAAGAAGGTATTATTTTCTCTTTTGGGCTATCTGGAAGTAATATTTTTCTCTTTCACACTTTCTCATTTTCAGCTCGCATTGTGTGTTTTTTGTTGAAAATTTTATGTTTCTGGAACTACATGTCAATGATCTAGATATTCAGTGTTAGTTTTGAACCAAAACCATCTAATTTATTTCTTTATTCTTAATCAAAACTAGTACTCCTTATGAAAGATATTCAGTCCATCATAATAGAAGTGAAAGAGGGTCCTAGGCTATATTTTTTTGATATTCTTGTTTGGTTTTTCTTTAAATCAGGGAATTGGTTGTGAGTATCGACATAGTGGAATATTCAGACTCAATCCGAGAGACTACTGGTACTAGTTTACTAGGAATTGTATTGATCCGACCTGTGATTTTTGGCGTCCTGTGAGCTCGTATTCTTTTTAATAAGTTCATGTTGATTATGAGACTGATATATCGTGAACGAATTATATTTTTTTACATGTTTTGAATTGAGGACTATGTTGCAAGTTTTAAAAGTTGGGGGACCTAAATGCAAGTGCCTGAAAAGTTCAGTGACCATATTACAAACGCACTAACGACAGTGTAACGACGTTAAACGGCCGGTTACGTCGGGGACCATTTTGCAAACGGATTAAATGTTGGAGAATTGTATTGCAAATTTTAAAAGTTGGGGGACCTAAATGAAAGCTTTAGAAAATTTCAGTGACCATTACTATACTTTACCCTTTAATTATCTATGTATTTAATGTGGTTTTCAAATTTAGAAGAAAAAAAATTGGTTTTAGCTTTTCCTTTAGGTTTGCGCTGTTATGAATTTCGTACTTGAATTTTTGTAATGCTTCGAAAGATACTATTTTCATCTAATTAAGTTTAGGAGTTTCAATGAGGCCTTGGTACTTGGTGGAATCTAGTTCGTTAATCGTTACAATGCTGACGTAATATATTATGGTGTTGATATAAATGTCTACGATAACATTATGGTCCATGGTAGTTGGTGGCTTAATTGATGATAGGATAGTTAGATTAAATTGATTTTTTTATTAAATTCGATGATAGAATTGATTTTTTTAAAATATAAAATATTAAAAAATAAATAAATATCAAAAACTAAAAATTATATTACTAAACAAATTTAAAATATATAATATTATTTTTTACCTGGATTTTGTCATGATTTTTGTTTGTATAAAATTAAACCCGTCCATCGTGTATAAATTAAACCAACTCTTCTCAAGCTAGGATTTGAAATCTGGATGATTGGATATATCGTGTGTGAGGTCCTTTCGTATTCTTATACTAATGTATGTAAGTTCCTAGCGCTTGGAACTAAAACGTGAGGCATGATAATGGCGCATGTGTGATATGATATTGATCCAGTTTAGGCAGCTTCAGGAGAGGAGGAATGGACATTGGACAAAATGTCTTATGCTGCTATCTTACTTATCTGCTAAAATGGACAAAATATTTTTTTCTTCTCTATGCCACTAATCAGAGTCCGCGAGACTTTCTTTTCCCCGCAGGCTCCCACGACCTTAGCCGCTCCTCCTAATTTCGAAAGAAAAAATAGCCAAGGATAATTACGATGATGAGGATATGTAATCACATCTAGCCAAGGATTCAGTTGAGTCAACATCATCACGTTTACCCCTGGAATCTTCTGATGCAGTCTCCAACTAAGTGATAAAATGAAAAAGCATTAAATATATGGGATATTCGAGTGAGATTTAGTAACTCGTGCATTTTCCTTATTTTAGTATCCTTTTTTAAGAAATGTATATTCTGGGGAAGATATGTAACTATATACCGGCTTCCATAGAAGCTAGTCAATGAAGTTTCATCAATCAAAATTGAGTTTTGTTTATTCCACCATAGTCTGGTGTTGGATAAAGGGGTGATGAACAATTGTAGTATCGTAGGGCTTGCGGTTTGATAAAGGGATGTTAATAACATCGGCGTTCCTGGCAAGATAAGCAGCGTAGTCATTGCCGACCATGGAGAATGGAGACGAGGGCAATGGAGTTATCCACATCCTGCTTTTTGTACAGTTTTTGTTGAAAAACGTTGGAAAAAATTGATTTGGGTAGGTTGGGTTGATTCACCCATGCTATTTTGCTTTCGGAATTATGAGGAGGGGGGAAAGAACTGAGAGACTGATGATGAAGGGGAAAAATTAGGAAAAAATAATGAGAGATAAAAATGAAATTAAAATTAAGCTTGATGATGATTTTGAAGAAAAATAATTGTATGACCAAAATAAACTACATAAATAGTTGGATGATTAAATGTATACTTTGTTTATATACTTTTAACAGGACTTAACTATTTGAGTTATTTTTCAATAAAATAAAGATTTAAATTTCAAAAAAAAAAGTCTAGAAATATTTTAGAAGACAATTCAATATAAATATCATAACTTTAGGTAAGTAGGGTACATTTAAGTCTAGCTTTGTCTTACTTTATGATACTTGGAAATTTTCACGGTTTTGGCCAGCAAAATCTACAAAGTTTTCAGAACGTAGTCCGATCTGGCTCAGCCCATAAACACAGTACTCAGTCCCGAGTCCTGACTCAAAATCACGCCGTCAGCCGATATTTCATTGCCTTCCTTTCCGTCTCACTGAGACTCTCTCAAGAGCCTTAATTTCCCAAGAGAAAGGAACATAGAGTAACAAAGCGTCGGATTCTGAACTCGTTTAAGCCATGAACACGGCTCCACAAGGAACCCACTCGCTCGCCTTCAGGGTGATTGCAACTGTATATCTATTGCATTGATACTTAACATTTTCTTCCCTTCTTAATTGTGTTTGACTAAGCTTTTTATTACTAGTATGGAATTCGAAAAAGTATTAGATCGTGTGCTTCTTCTTAAGCTTGTTTGAGTCTAAAAATCTTTTTCTCCTTTAATTTTACTTACTTCCATGTATGCTACGTTAAATCCCGAACGGAGATTTAGATTTGATGTTCATAGTTCATGCACACACATTTGCACTAAAAAAACATGTGGTTTTGTTTGATACGAAATCTCAAGAAGTGAGAAGTCTTTGTTTTATTGTAGGCTGAAATTCAGACCGAGAGACAGAGGATCCTCCTCTTGGATAATGGATACCACTAAATCACCTGTTGAATTCATACGTGCAGGCGGACGTTATGATTTCATTGTGGAACATGATGTCAAGGAACTTGGAGCTCATACGTATGTAGTAGTTTGATTTTTCTGTCTCCTTTTTATTAATTAGTTCCTCTAACTTCACCTATTTGTCGCGAGACAAAATTTAGGCGTGAGAAAATATCTTCCACAGTTTTTCAAGTTCGTTGTTGCGAACCCTTTATCATTTAGGACAAGGTACCGTCCCTTGCCATTAAAGAAATGAGTTAATTTTTTGTGTATGCTGCCCTTGGCTAGCTTCAGTGCCATTTTTGCGTCAACTTTGTTATTTGACTCTCTTCACTTTAACTTTGATTTCCATTTAAAATTATAATGCTTTTATCTCTGTTGTGCAGGTCCGCACTGTCAAGGTAGGTTGAGATTGACTTGAATTATCTAATGAAAGTTTTATAGCCTAGACAGTCATGCTGCTATTATAGCTTCTTTTTATGTCATGCAAACTATAGAAATTAAAGGGTCAAATGTCTTGAATATATAAATTGCAATGTGATTTGTAAGTGGAATTGATATCAAATAAATTCGTACAGACTCAGTATTTTATCCCTCCTTCACCGGGTATTGTGCGAGGGGAGGGCAAGGCTAGGGATACCCTTCATTGTGCACCCGAGCCTCCGAGTTTTCTTCTGTTTCTTTTTCTTTTTGTTGTTTCTCATTTGTAGTAT